TTCGGGCTCTCAACGGCCCCCAGGACATTCACAGAATGCATCACACTAGTCGTCGCGTACCTACGGACCCAACTGATAAAAATCTTTCCTTACATCGACGACTGGCTTCTAGTGGCCCGATCCGATCACGAAGTGCTCTTGGCTACAAGATTCACCCTGTCCACCCTGGAAAAATTAGGCCTAAAAATCAATGCAAAAAAGTCCAACCTCATACCTTCTCAAGTAGTCTCCTACATAGGAGCAACCTTGGACTCTGTTCGCACGAGCGCCTTTTTACCACTACAGCGAATTTGAAAGATCAAAACAGCTGTGAGCAAGCTCAAACTCACAGCGCACTACATCCAACACGTTCTAGGACTAATGGCATCCACTACGGGGGTGGTATTGTACGCCAGACTCGAACTCAGACCCCTACGATCTTGGTTCATCACTCAGTTTGATCCTGTGCCAGACCCGCAGTCCAAGAGGTTGAGAATTCCCCCTCAGGTCATGTGGCATCTTGGATGGTGGTCCAGATCCAGCAACCTGTCACGGGGAAGACTGTTCCACTCCCCTTACCTGTCCATACAGGTCGTCACCGACGACAGCCCCTCAGGTTGGGGGGCACATTGCCAGAACCTCCATGTTCACGGCCTTTGGACCCCAACCCAAAAGACCTTGCACATAAATCAGCTAGAATTGCTAGCCGTCATGAAGGCTTTTCAATCCTTCCTGCCTTGCATCCAGGGTCAGGCAGCGCAACTGGTAACGGACAATACCACAGTGATGCACTACATCAACAGACAGGGTGGAATGCGATCAGCTCGTCTCCTCCAGTTTTGGACATGGTGTCGTTCCCACAACATCTTCCCACAGGTGATCCACATTGCTTCCAGGGACAACTCTCTGGCGGACCTTGACATTTGCAAACAATGGGGGACAGCCCACCCTGGACCTTTTCGCGTCCCATCTCAACACCAAGTGTGCCTGATACTGTTCCTCCCTGGGAGATGCCTTCCTCATACCATGGTCAGGGGAACTGACGTACCTGTTCTCTCCAATACCGCTGCTTCTCAGGACTGTGACCAGGATAATGCGGTACGGTACAGATGCAATCCTCATCGCCCCTTGGTGGCCGAGGCAACTGTGGTTCGCTCACCTATCAGAAATAGCACAAGAAGT